TATGGGCAAGATGGGAAGGGCTATTATTGAAGCCACTGCGATTGGCTACTGTCCAATATGTCTTACAGTCTTCCACAAGGTCCCCTCGGGGAGTGTCCACCTTGTGGAGACCTGCATAAATACCGGGCAGGTAGCCCCCATTAAACAGATATTCATTTGACCCTCAAGACGGAGCTTGGTCTCGTTTGTGGGGGGAATTATTACTGGGACAGCGTTTTCGTTATTTTTAGCTGTGGAAGGCGTTCGACTGTTTTGCTGATCGTGAGTTGCCGTGTTCGTGGACTTCGTTCGGGAGTTTGGCGGTCGGCTGGATTTAAACTGCATTTCTGGAGAAGGGGATTATTGACTAAACGGCGGCTTCATCTACTCGACGGTACGTGTCGTAACACACACTATCAGCAGAGACTGTACCCAGTTACACAGTATCAGGAGAGACTGTACCCAGTTACACACTATCAGCAGAGACTCTACCCAGTTACACACTATCAGCAGAGACTGTACCCAGTTACACACTATCAGAATACACTCTACCCAGTTACACACTATCAGCAGAGACTCTACCCAGTTACACACTATCAGCAGGGACTGTACCCAGTTACACACTATCAGGAGAGACTCTACCCAGTTACACACTATCAGCAGAGACTGTACCCAGTTACACAGTATCAGGAGAGACTCTACCCAGTTACACACTATCAGGAGAGACTCTACCCAGTTACACACTATCAGGAGAGACTGTACCCAGTTACACACTATCAGGAGAGACTCCACCCACTTACACACTATCAGCAGGGACTGTACCCAGTTACACACTATCAGCAGAGACTGTACCCAGTTACACACTATCAGCAGGGACTGTACCCAATTACACACTATCAGCAGAGACTGTACCCAGTTACACACTATCAGCAGAGACTGTACCCAGTTACACACTATCAGGAGAGAGACCAAAATCTAGTCACAACACCATCAGAATACCCAGCCACACACCATCAGAAGACACTCAAAAATCTAAAGTCACACCATCAGGAGAGAGACCACAGTACCCAATTACACACCATCAGCAGAGACCCACCCAGTCACACACCATCAGAAGACACTGTACCCAGTGTCACACACCATCAGGAGAGACTGCACCAATTACACACTATCAGCAGAGATCAGACCCAGTCATACACCATCATCAGCAGAGACTCTTTACCCAGTTACACACTATCAGCAGGACTGCACCCAGTTACACACCATCAGAATACCCAGTTACACACTATCAGAAGACACTGCACCCAGTTACACACTCATCAGGAGAGACCCACCCACTACACACTATCAGAAGACACTGTACCCAGTTACACACTATCAGGAGAGACTGTACCCAATTACACACTATCAGCAGAGACTCTACCCAGTTACACACTATCAGAAGACACTGTACCCAGTTACACACTATCAGGAGAGACTGTACCCAATTACACACTATCAGCAGAGACTGTACCCAGTTACACACTATCAGCAGAGACTTTACCCAGTTACACACTATCAGCAGGGACTGTACCCAGTTACACACTATCAGGAGAGACTGTACCCAATTACACACTATCAGCAGAGACTGTACCCAGTTACACACTATCAGGAGAGACTGTACCCAGTTACACACTATCAGGAGAGACTGTACCCAGTTACACACTATCAGGAGAGACTGTACCCAATTACACACTAACAGGAGAGACTGTACCCAGTTACACACTATCAGAATACACTCTACCCAGTTACACACTAACAGGAGAGACTGTACACAGTTACACACTATCAGAATACACTCTACCCAGTTACACAATGTCAGGAGAGACTGTACCCAGTTACACACT